AATTATATTTATTACACTTTTAATTTATATATTTAAGATAAAAATTGGATTAACATTATATTAATTTTAATGTGAAAGTTAATTATAGAAGAGAAGAAAATTTGAGTCTGTTGTGATTCTTTTCTTCCTAAACATAAAATAAATAAAATTTTAAGCCACTCTTTTCAATCAAAGAGGTCGTGTCCCAGTGGCAAAGCTGATCGAAAATGCCATATAAGTCTTGTGTTCGAAGCCTGCAGGTGACAACTTTATGGGAAATTTTCCAAAAGATTTAAACCGTCCGGTTGAACGGTTTAACGGTTGTACCGGTTCAAATGGTTTTATCGGTTTTGAATGGTTCAATCACTATACCGGTTCTAAACCTTAACACGAGTCATTTATTGTATCGGTATCGGTCTGACCGGTTTAACCTGTCGGTTCGGTCCAGTTTTAAAACATTGTTTCAAACCATATGTAATTGTTTTTATTGGTTCTAAATACCATATTTAGTCAACCATATTAGCATCATATCTAGCAATACCAATCTTAGTATAAAGTTCAAACAGTGTCAACCTATCCTTATTAATAATCCAGTCATCACATTCACCGTCAACATATGAAATTGAATTACTAACTCCCTGTATAAACCTCCCATCCAAATGAATGAAAATTGGTACAACTTTGGTTTTTGCCTCATTTCCTGAACCATGCTCACCCTAATAAATAAAGCAAACAAACAAAATAAATTACTCAATATAGATTTGGTCTGGACACGAGTCAACACAGCAGACACTAGAAAACCAACAACATTGAAAGCCAAACTTTTTTAATTGTTAAGACAATTTTACTCAATTAAAAAATTATTATTCAACACAAAAGAAAATGGGAAACACTAAAACGACACAAACTTCCTATCTAAGTGGGGACCTAATGTCCTTTTCTCCTCAAATAGTGATGCAGTTCAACATGCATCAAAATTTTTGCATCACTTTTATCGGACAAGGGACCATGTCAGTATAAAAAAGTACCCTTTGAGTCAATTAGACAACAATAGAAAAAAGGAGAAGGAAACTCATATCGATATCTCGTTTTCCAAAATCTCTTCGCTTGGTTCTAGGTCAACATAAACGATTTTGGGGTCATTGGGGTCCATTGATCCAGCTTTCAAGTGACTTTTCAACAATCGCAACTTCGATTCCCTTAGAAAAATCTTTTGAATCCCAGCAAATCTAGGGTTTGAGTTCAAACTTTAAATGAGAATCGAACAAGGAAGACACGATAAACTCTGAGAAAATCTTTGCAATCCTAAAGAGTATAGGGTTTGGGTTCTTCGAAAGTGCAGTGTTCTCTATGGTTATTAGATTTTTTTTCCTCCCAAAGGAGCAATCCAAAAGACATCTTTCTTTATTAGTGCTTTGGTAGGCAATATGTGGGGCCCATTTGAGTGGATTTGGTGCCTTTGAGTTGCGGGAACATGACATGGCAAAACGTTTTGTCCATATCAGCACTTTTTTAGATTTTGCTCTCCATGTCATAAAAAAAATATAAAAAATGTCACATCGCAAAGTTAACGGCTCAAATTGATGGAAGGATTAACGTTGTGCATTTCTTAGAGTTGATGGATCAAAAAAGTGCAAAAAATTGTTGAGGGATCAAATTTAGAATTTAACCTTATAAGAAAAGAGATTTTAAAAATATTTTTTTTATGGGACATGAAAAGAGGCATTTTTTTATGTGAAATTTC